CATTTCCTTCTAGGATGGCCATCATTTCCGTGCTTAGGATGCCCATCGTTTTCTGCTTAAGAAGGCTATTTTATTTGGAGATGAGATTTTTAAACAATAGTTTAAGTCTGATCTGACACATTTGTTTCCTTCTTTAGCTTTTCCTGTGCATCATATACAAATAATTGGAGAAGTGAGCAGAAGTCTTCTTTGAAGTCATCACAGAGACTAAATACTCGAAACAGAAAGAAAATGGCATCATTTAGTGCTTCTGATCCTGTGTACTATGATACTATTGTTGTTCAACATCCAGATTTATATTACAGGTGAGGTAGAATTTATGCCATCATTTTTAAATTGCTAGTTCCAAGGAGCATTATTGTTACCATAAACACATGCGGAAAGTTTGATTGCAGTTTTATTTTGTTGCTCAGATCCAGGGCATTTTTATTGCATCACCGCTTCAAATTACACAAAAATAGTGATGGTTTGCTGAATGATCATTTGTGTATATGAAACAGAATTGCTTCACCATGACAATGTTTTCTATTTACTTTACAGATTAGTTCATTTGGATTTGAAAGGAGCTCCACCAAAAATTAGTTACCTTCAACAGGTACATGTTATATATAATTGTATTTAGTATTATTATACATCTGTCACCGTAACGCCATGAGTTACAGCGTGTCGTAATTTTGCGGTATTTTACGGGGTATTTTCATCCTAGCATATTAGGAAATGCAAATTCCAAATATGGAATGATTACGCACGTAAGCGTCCTCTAATAATGAAAACAAACATGGCTGCCACCAGGGTTTGACCAGACTCCTTATAAAAAATAATAAGGTTACGGTACGTTATTACGAAGATACCTCAAAGTATGCACTCAGACAGTACGCTGTTGCATTGATCTCTACTGCGCGTCGGTCGATACTGCCGCTGTACTGTTTTCGTGCATACTTTGAGGTATCTTTGTAATAAACGTATAATATATAGAATATATAACAGCAGAGTATAAGTGTCGTAAATTATTTCATGCCTAGTGAAGTATAAATTGTATGTTCATTTATGGAGTATAATTATGTAACCTTTAGTGGAGTGTATGTGTTTTTATGTATTAGTGGAGTGTATATAGTCACTAGTGTAGTATATGTAACCAGCACTGCACACACTGTATTGTATTTAATCCTATAATATTCACCGTTTTTTTTGTCTTGTCTTCTTTCTGCATTGTATCCATTATATTGGATGTTAAAGTGCTACAATAAATTTGACATGCATTGCATATGTTCCTATGGGTCTTGTATTAAACATTACACAGTACATTGACTGTAGTGCTTATATTGATTGAATAAATCATTAAATAAATAATAAATGGTTTAAAAGGCATGAAATCTAAATACTGATAATATTACCAGTATTTTAATTAACTTATTTATTTTATCATAATCAGTATTTCTTGTTGTTTATTATGTGTTTATCTTGTCATCCTTTGTGAGTGAATTCCACAAATGTTATCCTATCATGTTGACAGATGATACCATTATTTGCTAAGTGGGGTGCTAATGGTTTGCTGGTAGAATATGAAGACATGTTTCCATATAAAGGTGAATTATCTACACTGGCAGCAGCTGATGCATATAGGTAATGCTATTATGTTACATTGACCTGTCTGGCTCGGGTCACCCTGTGTTTGATAGTTAAAATGGACAGGAAGCAATATAGAATGGTAGTTGTGATAATACATTTATGTCTGACATGGAGCCCATGCAACAAGTGTTTAAAATAGTTTGTTCACAAAAAATTTCCATATTCAACAACCATCCCCCATTGAATTGAGTCTGTCGACCCATTGAACTGGTATTTTATATCCTGAAAAAGGGAAATCATAAAATCATGAATCAATATATATTTAAATCGTAAATTACAGTTCAATTAGTCCAAAACAAAATGTAGATCATCATCACTGCAACAATAATTACCATTCATGTAGAATAGAGGTGTACAGTTTGATATGCCATCATTTTTATTATATTTAGTTCTA